GGTCATATAATACTGAAATCTTACTACGAGCCATTGGAAGAGAGAGCACCCCAGTGATAAGAGATACCGTTGGAGATTGAAGGAAAGATGTGAAGTGTGTGCGAGCATAGTTGTGCGCTTGGAAGTATCGAAACATATGAGATTGGGGTAAATTATATTTAACACAAAGATCATTAAATGTAACAATTAAGCCCTCCAAATATAAATCTGAAAAATGAAACCAGTCCTCTCTCTCCACAAAGTGAAATCTGTGTCTGAATTGAAGCGGGGAAAGAAATGATTTTTTGCAAATAGGCCTTAATGGGATGGGTGCTGAAAGTTTGAAGTGTTGCCTGAATTGTTTCCAGATTTTCAAAGAGGAGAATACAATTGGGTTTTTAATATAACTAGGATAACGAGAAGCTAGAGGGGCACAAACCAGAGCCGCCAAAGACGAGGGATGGGAAGAAGCATCCTCCATTATGCACCAATCTAAATTGGAAGAGTTACACCAGGCGTGGATTTTTTGAAGATTGGCAGTCCAATAATGAAATAATAAGTTAGGCAGTGCAAGGCCCCCATCTGATTTGCTTCTCTGGAGTACTGCTCAGTGTGCCCTTGGGTTCTGAGATTATTTTGTCTAACATTTGTATAAATGATTTAGATAAAAACAAATTGGAAGACACTGGAGAAGCAACATAAATCTCAGAAAAATATTAAGCTTAATAGAATTTATTCTGCCTATCAGAGAGAGAGGGAGAGATAGAATAGAATAGAATGCCTTTATTGTCACTATACGCATGTACAACAAGATTAAAAGCAGCTCCAATACCAGTGCAAGCAGTGTAAAAATATACAAGAATATACAATATAGACAAAGGATAAATAGTGCAAAAAAAGGGGGGTGGGGGTGTAAGGAGAGAGGGGGGGTGTAAGGAGGTAAGGTGCACAGTCCTGAGAAAGCTTATGTACAAATTACAGAAAATAAATATGGTGCTATATACAGTGTTGTGTTCACATTATGGAGTGGGATATTGCACATTATGAAGTATTGCACAGAGAGAGTCCGGGGGGTGGGGGGGTGGCAGACTATAAGGTCAGTGCATGTGAGAGTTCAGGGTGGTTATGGCTTTAGGAAAGAAACTGTTTTTGAGTCTGTTAGTTTTTGTCCTGATGCACCTGTTGCGCCTCCCTGAGGGCAACAGGTCAAACAGTTCAAAGCCAGGGTGGGAGCTGTCTTTGGTGATGCTCTTGGCTCTGCTGAGGCAGCTGGAGGTGTAAATGTCCATCAGGGAGGGGAGAGGGCAGCCGATGATCTTCTGTGCTGCCTTTACTACTCTCTGGAGCCTCTCCCTGTCTACAGCAGTGCAGCTGCCGTGCCATACTGTGATACAGTACATCAGCAGGCTCTCGACGGATGAGCGGTAGAAGGTCAGTAGCAGGTTGGAATCCAGGTTGTGCTTCTTGAGGACCCTCAGGAAGTGCAGCCGCTGCTGAGCCTTCTTGATGACCGCTGTGATGTTGTCTGTCCATGAGATGTTGGTGGAGATGAGGACGCTGAGAAACCGGAAGGTGTGGACCCTCTCCGCACACTCACCGTTGATGTGAAGGGGGGCTAGGTTGGTGCTGTGCTTCCTGAAGTTGACGATGATCTCCTTGGTTTTCTTGGTGTTCAGAGTGAGGTTCTTCTCTGAACACCAGGCTGCCAGCTTCAGGTCCTCCTCAATGTAGGCTACCTCGTCTCTCTTCGAGATGAGTCCGACCACCATGGTGTCGTCAGCAAACTTGAAGATGAGGCTGCTGTTGTGGGTCCAACTGCAGTCATGGGTGTAGAGGCAGTACAGGAGGGGGCTCAGCACACAGCCCTGTGGGGAGCCAGTGCTCAGCATCCGGGTGGAGGAGAGGTGGGGGCCAAGTCTCACAGTCTGGGGCTGGTTGGTGAGGAAGTCCTTTATCCAGGCACATGTGAGAGGGGGGAGGCCGAGAGTGTCCAGTTTTGTGATGAGGATGTCCGCGATTATTGTGTTAAAGGCTGAACTATAATCCACAAAGAACATCCGGACGTAGCTCTGCTGCTGCTCCAGGTGGCTCAGCGCAGAGTGGAGAGCTACAGCAATGGCATCTTCTGTGGATCTGTTCGCCCGATAAGCAGACTGGTGGGGGTGGAAGTCTGGGGGGAGATACTCCTTGATGTGCTTAAGAACTAGTCTCTCAAAGCACTTAATGATTACCGGGGTGAGGGCCACCAGACGGTAATCGTTCAGGCTGGTGACGGGAGACTTCTTCGGCACCGGGATTATTGTTGCTGCTTTCAGGCAGGACGGGATGACTGCCTGCCTTATTTTCTAACCCTAACCCTAACCCTAACCCAGGGAGAGGTTGAAGATCCTGGTGAAGGTGAGGGCGAGCTGGTGGGCGCACGCTCTGAGCACCTTGCCAGGTACTCCATCTGGGCCGGCAGCTTTCCTGGGGTTCACTGCCAGGAGCACTCGTCTAACATCATGCTCCTGTACAGTGAGTGGAGTGGTGGAGGAACCAGGTGGAGGTGGGGGCAGGGCTGGAGCAGATGAGTGCTGCTGTGATGTTTTGTAGCGAGCAAAGAAGCTGTTTAGCTCCTCTGCCAGTGGCGCGCTCAGGTCTCCTGTTGACGCGTCATAGTCTCTGAAGTTTGTGATGTGTTGTATGCCCTGCCGCACCTCCTGTGTGTTGTTGCTGGACAGGTGGGACTCTATACTCATCTTATGGTCCGCCTTGGCTTTTTTAATTCCTCTTTTCAGGTCAGCTCGAGCAGCCCTGTACAGAGCTCTGTCACCTGACCTGAAGGCAGCGTCCCAGCGCCTCAAATCAGACTTAATTTCCATAACATCATCATTTCCATAACATCATCATTAGAAATCACTCTATAAATTTCCATTGTTATGCGGATGATACTCAGTTGTATTTATCGATGAAGCCAGAAAAAAGTAATCAATTAACTAAACTCCATAACTGCCTTAAAGACATAAAAACTTGGATGAGCACCAATTTCCTGATGTTAAATTCAGACAAAACTGAAGTTATTGTTCTTGGCCCCAAACAACTCAGAGACTCTTTATCTGAAGACATAGTTTCTCTAGATGGCATTGCTCTGGCCTCTAGCACTACCGTAAGAAAGCTCGGAGTAATATTTGATCAAGATTTGTCTTTTAATTCTCATTTAAAACAAACCTCACGGACTGCATTTTTTCATCTGCATAATATTGTGAAAATTAGGCCTATCCTGACCCGAAAAGATGCAGAAAAATTGGTCCACGCTTTTGTTACCTCTAGGCTGGATTACTGTAACTCTCTATTATCAGGTAGCTCTAGTAAGTCCTTAAAAACTCTCCAGCTAATTCAGAATGCAGCAGCACGTGTACTAACAGGAACTAAGAAACGAGATCATATTTCTCCTGTTTTAGCTTCTCTGCACTGGCTCCCTGTAAAATCCAGAATTGAATTTAAAATTCTACTGTTAACTTCTAAAGCTCTAAATGGTCAAGCTCCGTCATATCTTAGTGAGCTCATAGTGCCATATTATCCCACCAGAACACTGCGCTCTGAGAACGCAGGGTTACTCGTGGTCCCTAAAGTCTCCAAAAGTAGATCAGGAGCCAGAGCCTTCAGCTATCAGGCTCCTCTCCTGTGGAATCCTCTTCCTGTTACGGTCCGGGAGGCAGACACCGTCTCCACATTTAAGACTAGACTTAAGACTTTCCTCTTTGATAAAGCTTATAGTTAGGGCTGGCTCAGGCTTGCCCTGTACCAGCCCCTAGTTAGGCTGACTTAGGCCTAGTCTGCCGGAGGACCCCCCTATAATACACCGGGCACCTTCTCTCCTTCTCTCTCTCTCTCTCTCTCGTATTCTATTACTGCATCTTGCTAACTCGGCCATTCTGGATGTCACTAACTCGGCTTCTTCTCCGGAGCCTTTGTGCTCCACTGTCTCTCAGATTAACTCATATCACAGCGGTGCCTGGACAGCATGACGTGTGTGGTTGTGCTGCTGCCGTGGTCCTGCCAGATGCCTCCTGCTGCTGCTGCCATCATTAGTCATTAGTCATACTTCTACTGTTATTATACACATATGACTATTGTCACACATGTATACTGCCAGATATTAATACATATTTTCAACATATTGTACCACAGTAGCCAGAACTATAACTATAATATTATTACTTTCAATAATGTTGTTGTAAGCTACTGTTATTACCTGCATGTCTCTCTCTGTCTCTCTCTCTCTCTCTCTGTCTCATTGTGTCATGCGGATTACTGTTAATTTATTATGCTGATCTGTTCTGTACGACATCTATTGCACGTCTGTCAGTCCTGGAAGAGGGATCCCTCCTCAGTTGCTCTTCCTGAGGTTTCTACCGTTTTTTTCCCCGTTAAAGGGTTTTTTGGGGAGTTTTTCCTGATCAGCTGTGAGGGTCATGAGGACAGAGAGATGTCGTATGCTGTAAAGCCCTGTGAGGCAAATTGTGATTTGTGATATTGGGCTTTATAAATAAAATTGATTGATTGAATTGATTGATTGATAACCAACTTTGTAAAATTGTTTTTATATAGTAAGGGGAGGGAGGGAGAAATATTAATACCTAAGTAACGGAAACTGGTATTAAATGGTAGTGCACCTGATGGGATCTGTTTAGCTGCTTTGTTTACCGGAAAACATTAGCTTCTACTGATGTTTAACTTATAACCTGAAAATGATCCAAAAGTTGTCAAGATTTGTAAAATATCATCTACACAGCTAACTGGGTCGGTGACATATAGCAACAGAGTTGTTTGGGACCAAAAACAATAACTGTTTTGTCTGAATTTAACATAAGGAAATTGGTGCAATGTAGTCGCATCTTACCTCAAGAAAGTCCAGCAAAAAATAAAGAAAAAGATAATAGTCCCAAAAGAATCGCTAAGTCATATATATCGGTGGTCATTCCACTAGCTCAGTCCCTCTTTCATGTGTCGTGTATGCGTTCTTCATAAAACAGCTCAGCTTGCTCCGGGGAATCAAAGATTTGGCTCACACCGTTGAAGGTGACGTGCAGCTGGGCAGGGTAAATCATGCCAAATCATATCCTTTTCTGAAAAAGCATGGATTTCACCTGGTTGAAAGCAGTTCACCTCCTCGCCACTGCAGCACTCAAGTCCTCTTAAAACTTGATGTTATGACCCCGATAGGTCATACTGCGGTGCTCCTTTGCCCATTGTAGCACTCTTTCTTTATCGACGTAGCGGTGAAAGCGCACTATCACAGGGCGGGATCCTTGGTGAGGTTTTGGTCTGAGACTACGATGGGCCCAGTCTAGTTCAGGTCTGGAGTTCGACAGCGCCTCTGCCGCTACTTCTTTGAATAAATCTGCCATAAATTGTCTTATTTCCTTCAGTGTCTTCGGGCAGACCATTCACTCTTAGGTTCTGACGCTTTGAACAAGACACCAAGTCCTCCACGGCAGCCTGGAGAGCACCGTGCTCTTCCATTATCGAAGTTAGTTATGAGCGTAGCTCCACTACATCTTGCTCCAGGCTTGTGATGTTATCCGAATGGGTCGTGAGGGCCGTTTCCATCTCCGAAATTGTAGAGGTGTGTTTAGCCACGGTGGTGGTAATGGACTCAAGAGCCGAATTAATCGGAGCGAGGGCCGCATTCAGAGAGGTGGTGGGCTCCGTAGTGGTGCTTTTCCTAGATTTTTCCAGTTCAGTGATGAGCATTTCCAAAGTAAGGGGGGAAGGCCGCGCAATGTTATTTAAAACAGAGTGTTACACCAAAAACAAACTTGAAAGAATTACGTAACTCACAAATTTTTTTATTACACAGAAGCATGCTCCACACGTCCGTCTTCTACATCGCCAAACCAGAAGAGGCAAGACTTAAAGTTAAGACTTTAAGTTAAGACTAAAAATTAAGACTAAAAGTTAAAACTTGAAATTCAGACCAGATGTCAGTACCACTCAAAGTGGCAAAACATGGTCGACCACGCCTCCTAGGTGACATCACAGTTTCTGTCTCGATATCACTCAGAGAACTTTCCTGAATCTGTCCTGAGATCAGACTGAAACATTTAGTCTGTGAGACGACCTCTGAAAACTTTATTTACAACACACACTCCAACCGTCTGTCTCTCACCTGTCTATCTGCCTGTCTGTTTCTCACCTGTCTGTCTGTCTGCCTGTCTGTTTCTCACCTGTCTGTCTGTCTGTCTGCAGACGCTGAGAGCAGCAGGTAAAACTTACATGATCTTCTTCGTGGTCATCATCTTCCTGGGCTCGTTCTACCTCATTAACCTCATTCTGGCTGTGGTCGCCATGGCGTACGCCGAGCAGAATGAGGCCACCATAGCCGAGGCCAAACAGAAGGAAGAAGAGTACGCTCAGATCCTGGAGTTGCTGAAGAAGAGGGAGAAAGAGGTGCGACCGTGTCATTGGTTTAAGCTCTGTCTCTGAAACCACAGTCACAAAACTCCACACAACCTGACCATGACAACTCCCCCCCCCCCCCCCCCCCCCCCCCCCCCCCCCCCCCCCCAGATATATCTGTTATCCAACTCTGTGAACAATTGTGTCTGCATCAATACAGAGAGTAACACACACAACATAACACAAACAGCAAAACACACACGAGACAACACGTACACAACATGACACACATGACATAACACACACAAGACATAACACACACATGACGTGACACACACAAGACATAACACACACAAGACGTAACATACACACGACATAACACAGAAGACATAACACACATGACATTACACACATGACATAACACACAAACGACATAACACACACAATATAACACACACATGACATAACACACACAACATAACACGTACATAACAGGACACACAACATAACACATACACGACATAACACACACAAGACAACATACACACGACATACCACACACACACTACATAACACACATGACATAACACACCCAAGGCATAACATACACACAACACAACACATACAAGACATAACACATACATGACATGCCACACACAAGACATAACACACAAAAATACACATGACATGACAGCTGTAGAATCTAATATATATTTAGATTGCTTCTCCCCAATTTCTCTTCAAGAATTGACCGCAGTGATTTCTTCATCTAAATCATCAACGTGTCTCTTAGACCCCATCCCAACTAGGCTACTTAAGGAGGTCTTTCCTTTAGTTAACACTCATATATTAGATATGATCAATATATCCCTATTAACAGGCTATGTACCACAGTCTTTTAAGGTAGCTGTAATTAAATCTCTCCTAAAAAAGCCCACCCTGGATCCAGAGGTGTTAGCCAACTATAGACCAATATCTAATCTTCCCTTTATGTCAAAGATCCTTGAGAAAGTAGTCGCAGACCAGCTGTGTGATTTTCTCCAGGATAATAATTTATTTGAGGAATTTCAGTCAGGATTTAGAGTGCATCATAGCACTGAGACAGCTCTAGTTAAAATTACAAATGACCTTCTGATTGCTTCAGACAAAGGACTCGTCTCTGTTCTTGTTTTATTAGATCTTAGTGCGGCGTTTGACACAATTGACCATCAAATTCTACTGCAGAGACTGGATCACTTAATTGGCCTAAAAGGTTCAGCACTAAGCTGGTTTAAATCTTATTTATCTGATCGTTTTCAATTTGTTGACGTTCGTAATGAATCATCCTTACGTACCAAAGTTTGTTTTGGAGTTCCGCAAGGTTCTGTGCTCGGACCAATCCTATTTACTCTATATATGCTTCCTTTAGGTAACATCATTAGAAATCACTCTATAAATTTCCATTGTTATGCGGATGATACACAGTTGTATTTATCGATGAAGCCAGAAGAAAGTAATCAATTAACTAAACTCCATAACTGCCTTAAAGACATAAAAAATTGGATGAGCACCAATTTCCTGATGTTAAATTCAGACAAAACTGAAGTTATTGTTCTTGGCCCCAAACAACTCAGAGACTCTTTATCTGATGACATAGTTTCTCCAGATGGCATTGCTCTGGCCTCTAGCACTACCGTAAGAAACCTCGGAGTAATATTTGATCAAGATTTGTCTTTTAATTCTCATTTAAAGCAAACCTCACGGACTGCATTTTTTCATCTGCGTAATATTGCGAAAATTAGGCCTATCCTGACCCGAAAAGATGCAGAAAAATTGGTCCACGCTTTTGTTACCTCAAGGCTGGATTACTGTAACTCTCTATTATCAGGTAGGTCTAGTAAGTCCTTAAAAACTCTCTAGCTAATTCAGAATGCAGCAGCACGTGTACTAACAGGAACTAAGAAACGAGATCATATTTCTCCTGTTTTTCTCTGCACTGGCTCCCTGTAAAATCCAGAATTGAATTTAAAATCCTACTGTTAACTTATAAAGCTCTAAATGGTCAAGCTCCGTCATATCTTAGAGAGCTCATAGTGCCATATTATCCCACCAGAACACTGCGCTCTGAGAACGCAGGGTTACTCGTGGTCCCTAAAGTCTCCAAAAGCAGATCAGGAGCCAGAGCCTTCAGCTATCAGGCTCCTCTCCTGTGGAATCATCTTCCTGTTACGGTCCGGGAGGCAGACACCGTCTCCACATTTAAGACTAGACTTAAGACTTTCCTCTTTGATAAAGCTTATAGTTAGGGCTGGCTCAGGCTTGCCCTGTACCAGCCCCTAGTTAGGCTGACTTAGGCCTAGTCTGCCGGAGGACCCCCTATAATACACCGGGCTCCCTCTCTCTCCCTCTCTCTCTCTCTCTCTCTCTCTCTCTCTCTCTCTCTCTCACTCTCATCCTATTACTGCATCTTGCTAACTCGGCCATTCTGGATGTCACTAACTCGGCTTCTTCTCCGGAGCCTTTGTGCTCCACTGTCTCTCAGAATAACTCATACCGCAGCGGTGCCTGGACAGTGTGACGTGTGTGGTTGTGCTGCTGCCGTGGTCCTGCCAGATGCCTCCTGCTGCTGCTGCCATCATTAGTCATTAGTCATACTTCTACTATTATACACATATGACTATTGTCACACATGTATACTGCCAGATATTAATACATATTTTCAACATATTGTACCACAGTAGCCAGAACTATAACTATAATATTATTACTTTCAATAATGTTGTTGTAAGCTACTGTTATTACCTGCATGTCTCTCTCTGTCTCTCTCTCTCTCTCTGTCTCATTGTGTCATATGGATTACTGTTAATTTATTATGCTGATCTGTTCTGTACGACATCTATTGCACGTCTGTCCGTCCTGGAAGAGGGATCCCTCCTCAGTTGCTCTTCCTGAGGTTTCTACCGTTTTTTTTTTTCCCCGTTAAAGGGGTTTTTTTTGGGGAGTTTTTCCTTATCCGCTGTGAGGGTCTTAAGGACAGAGGGATGTCGTATGCTGTAAAGCCCTGTGAGGCAAATTGTGATTTGTGATATTGGGCTTTATAAATAAAATTGAAAATTGAAATTGAATTGACATGACACACACACGACATAACACACATGATATAACACACACATGACATAACACACAAACGACATAACACGATATAATACACAAACACATGACCTACACACACACACAACATAACACACGTGACATAATACACACATGGCATAACACACGACATAACACGTACATAACATGACACACAAGACATAACACACACAGGACATAACACATACAAGACAACATACAAACGATATAACACACAAGACATAACACACACGACATAACACACACAAGGCAAAACATGCACATGACACAACACACACAAGACATAACACATACACGACATGACACACACAAGACATAACACACAAAAACACACATGACATTATAAACACACACAGCATAACACACATGTGACATGACGCATAACCACATGACATAACAAAAGCAGACATGACATAACACACATGACATGCCATGCATCACATGACATAACACACGTGACATATTACATACACTACATAATGCACTCGTGACATAACAGATACACATATGGCATAACACACATCACAGTACAAACACAGACGACATAACACACACGACATAACGCACATGACATAACACACATGACATAACACACATGACATGAAACACACACGACATAACACACGTGACATAACACACACATGACATAACAGACGACATAACACAAACACATAACCTACACACACGACATAAGACACGACATAACACAAACACCCATGACATAACACACATACACGACATAACACACACATGACATAACACACACAACATAACATAAACACGACATAACACACACAACATAACACACACATATGACATAACACACAATCATCAATCAATCAATTCAATTCAATTTTATTTATAAAGCCCAATATCACAAATCACAATTTGCCTCACAGGGCTTTACAGCATACGACATCCCTCTGTCCTTATGACCCTCACAGGTGATCAGGAAAAACTCCCCAAAAAAACCCTTTAATGGGGAAAAATGGTAGAAAGCTCAGGAAGAGCAACTGAGGAGGGATCCCTCTTCCAGGACGGACAGACGTGCAATAGATGTCGTACAGAACAGATCAACATGATAAATTAACAGTAATCCGTATGACACAATGAGACAGAGAGAGAGAGACAGAGAGAGAGAGAGAGAGAGACAGAGAGAGACAGAGAGAGATGCAGGTAATGACAGTAGCTTACAACAACATTAATGAAAGTAATAATATTATAATTATTAATATTCTGGCTACTGTGGTACAATATGTTGAAAGTATATATTAATATCTGGCAGTATACATGTGTGACAATAGTCATATGTGTATAATAACAGTAGAAGTATGACTAATGACTAATGATGGCAGCAGCAGCAGGAGGCATCTGGCAGGACCACGGCAGCAGCACAACCACACACGTCACGCTGTCCAGGCACCGCTGCGATATGAGTTCATCTGCATACACACACGACGTAACACACACACACACACACACAACATAACACACATGACATAAGACACACACACTTGGGTCGGTCTCTTTTATGTTTACCATCTGGTGTCCAGTGAAGGGCAGTTCAGGTGACGTTGTCCTGCTGTCTACGGATGACATGTCCAATCCAAGAACACACATGACATAACACATACAAAAGTACAGGTGTGTAAAGTACAGGTGTGTTCTCCAACCATTAAACACACTGTCGTACAGAGGGGGGATTTTGTTTTCTCAAAACTTCGAACACTCCTCAAAAACAAATAAAGCACGGATCAAAGGTCAAAGGTTAGGGTGTGTCATGATCTTGGGGTCCAGTGGTTTCAGAGACAGAGCTTTAAATCTCTGCTGGTGTTACAATATTAACAGAAATCAGACTAAACTGTTGTTACAGCAGGCGGCCTGCAGGGCGGAGCTCTCGGAGAAACAACACTCAGCACCACAGGAGAAGAACTCATCTGCAGAAACAAAGACCCACGAGCAAGAACACACTGCCATGGAAGGTACACACACACACACACACACACACACACACACACACAAACACTCACACAGGCTGTATCCAAATGTCCACCCACGTATCACGTAAAGTCTGCAAGCTGCTGACTAAAGTCGCAGTGATCAATAATATAAGATCCACCTTTACTGATCCCACAATTGAGAAATTCCAGTGTTACAGCAGTCGAGTGTAAAGAGTCAGATTAAAGATTTCAATATCTGAAAACTTAAAAAAACTAGGCATGCAAAAAAAAGTACAAAAAAATACAATAAACAGCAATAAATAATAATAATAATAATAATGAGCAGTGGATAAAAAGTGAACATATTTAGTGCAAATTGAATATTGTATGTGCAAATAAACAACAGCAAGGGGGACAGCAATGCTTATAGTGGTGTAAAGTGTCCATCGTGTCCCCAAAGTGTCCATAAAGTGTCCATAGTGTCAGTAAAGTGTCCATGGTGTCCCTAAAGTGTTCATGGTGTCCCTAAAGTGTCCATAGTGTCCCCAAAGTGTCCATAAAATGTCCATGGTGTCCCCAAAGTGTCCCTAAAGTGTCCATGGTGTCCCCAAAGTGTCCATGGTGTCCCTAAAGTGTTCATGGTGTCCATAAAGTGTCCATGGTGTCCCCAAAGTGTCCATAAAGTGTCCATGGTGTCCCCAAAGTGTCCATGGTGTCCCTAAAGTGTCCATGGTGTCCCCAAAGTGTCCATAAAGTGTCCATGGTGTCTCCAAAGTGTCCATAGTGTCCCTAAAGTGTCCATGGTGCAGTTTACTGTGAGTAGTGCTGGTTATGTAGCCTGACAGCAGCAGGCAGGAAGGACCTGCGATAGCGTTCCTTCACACACTTTGGGTGAATCAGTCTATCGCTGAAGGAGCTCTCCAGAGCTTTTATCTCCTCCTGCAGAGGATGGGAGTCATTAGTCCTCAGAGACGACAGCTTGGCTGTCATCCTCCTTTCTCCCACCACCTGCACAGAGTCCAGAGAGCATCCCAGGACAGAGCTGGCCTTCTTGATCAGCTTGTCCAGTCT